AGCTGTCACGTCATTTCAAGCTCGAGGTCATTCAACCCAACTCTCCATCGGCTCTGACTGAAATCACTGACATGTCATGTGGAGTTTGTGTTTTGGTTTGTTTTTCAGGGCTTCAAGATCAAGCCTCAAGTATTTATCACCCTTCAACATGAGCATTCTGACCGACCATTTGATTCCATGAACCTTTGGCTTGAAGATGTCGGAAAGAACGAGTTTTACGTGTGCATGAGAGAGTTGATGACGTTTGATGGAATTCACTCGGACCTAAAGGTGGTAAGTGGACGAGAATGAAGAGGAAACTCTCAGTATAGATCTACACGATTTTCACGCGAAGAAAGAGGTTCTACTGAAAAATTACTTTAATCCCGTGGTGGCAACTGGTGCAGGTCGGTTTGGAAGTTCAAAAGATAGATCGCTTCTTTCTTCTTTCTTGCCATAGTGATAAAAAGACATGATTAAGTTCAGTCTAAGGAAAATTCCGATCGAAAACAGGTCCATGAATTTGGTAAGCTCTACATAGTTTCATCATGGAACTGAAATAGTAATATTATTATAATAAACACAGGTTCATCACACTTAACAATCGAGTAGACAGTATTGCACATTTGCTTTAATTTTGTTATTTTCTTTTTAATTATGTGCGACCGCTTCACCTGGTCACTTTGTTTTTGATAATCGTATTGTTTGTCTCTTTTTGTTTTCCTGACCTCTTCAGCATTGGTTTGCTTATGACGAGCTCCCCGCCTATTGGAACTTCACTGAACGAGGAAAGATTAATTTCGCTGGATATGGAGCACCATCGCAAGAAAATAATTACGCTTTTTGCCAGGTAAGAAAATGGAATCTTATGGATACACCGCATTAACGTTCCCCTAGAAAAGACCTTTATAGCCTGAATTCTCTAAAAGTTTTGAGGATTTGTCTTAAAAATTGTTTAGATAAGGCCTTTGAAGAGTTCGAGTTACCTTTGTATGCACCGAATTCTTAAAACGGTAGTGACAACGATATTTTCTTCTGATTTCTTGATAGCTACGCCTATAGATATAGAAATTTGTTATTTTTTTTCTCCAAAATAGGATTTGAAATTTGACAACCCGTTTTACAAAGCGCCAATAATCCTTGTATCTGCTAGTCACGACAATTCAACCAGCACACTGTGGTATAACTCAGATGGTCGCTACAGCAATGCTTTAAATGTTTGGATGGAGGTATTGTGATCATAACTAGCCGTTGCTGTCATTGTTGTTGTTGCTGGTCTACGTTGTCGACGTCTTTGTCTTTTTCCTGAATTAAAGCCCCTTAAAAGACCTTATTATCAAAGACGTATAGTGTCAAGATGGTTTCTCAATATCGTCACCCAGCCCTTCAAAGCCGATTGTAATCTTCGGTTGCAGGAAGTTATCTCAAAGTTAGTATGAGGTCTTGCAAGTCATTTTTTAAAGATTCACTTAAATGATAGTTCAATTTTTTTTTTTTAAACTGAATACGGTATAGCTTCGTGGTAACTTTTTTTTTTTTGCAAAGTTTCTATACAAACTAACCAAGGAATCTACTAATTAACTTTTATAGGAGATTACTCAGTCGTCTTTTAAAGTTTGCGTTAAGGACACTCAGGGAATAAGCAGAAATCACGACCCAATAACCGTGGAGTATGCTGTCGTAGGAGGTACTTACTGCCCAGCGCTTTAGTTAGTCATAAACGAACGACGCTTTGTCTTTGTAATTATCTTCTCCGCTCTTCAACGGAACTTTAATCTGAGATAACTGTTGTTTGTCTTAGGCAATAGCCGCTATGCATGTTTACATTCTCATTTTACCTCGGTGGCACATTTCGAGGAGCCAATTTGAACATGTCATCATAAAAGAATTCCCGTGGTACAAAGACGAAGTAACGCCCACGTGGCAACAGAGAGTGAAGGAAGAATTTCGTCTAAAAGAGGTTTTGGGCGAAATTTGAGCAACCAACGTAATTATTTATTAGCAGGAGCCCATTTCATAGGGCGTATTAGATGCAAAACAAAAACAAACCAAGACGTTTTTCAAAGGTCCGCGTCGCTTACTGCGGATGGTATCGGTTACATGCTTCTGGTACGAATTCTGTTTGACGTTAGACTGATTGTTTTTTCGCTTCGTTTTGTTTTTATTATTGTTATTATTATTATTATTATTATTATTATTATTATTA